AAATAAATACTAAATTGACCAAGTAGTGTGTTGATGAGTACACTGAAGTAATAATCATGGAGACTTTCCAGAAAATATACTATTCCATTTTTTCCTTCAGATTTTAAACTAATCTTAGTAAAAACTGTGCATTCATGAGGCTTATGCAACAAGTTGGAGGACATAAAATTTTAAAATCTCTGCCCTGTCTAATATAGGAGTCAAGCTAAAATACTTTTTTATTTAAAATTTAGAACGAACCCTCCTCTCATCACAATAAAATGGGAGGTATATCTAAAAGAATAAATGACCAACATAGGCAGAGAGGTCTGGGGAGGCTTCAGAGGGAAGAGACATTGAATCATTTGTTCATGAGAGCTAAGTTTTTAGTGGGCATGTGAGGACAGGAAGAACATTGTAAGTTATAGAAAACAACATGTGCAAAGTAGAAGAGCCATGGAGGACATATTATTTTTTGGAAACAGTGGGATGTTCCCCATTTAGGAAGGTTGACAGCAGGAAATGAGGCTGGACAGGTGAGAACTTGAATGCCATGCTAGGGTACTTTCAGTGAGGGAGACTTTATTATCAACTAGCCTTTATTATTATCAAGCAGTTGGGTCTCCTGACTCTTATTGCCTTGCTGTAAATATACTGTGCATGCACAGTTACAGCTGTATCACCTTCAGCAAATCAAGTAACTCGCTAAGCCATAGTTTCCTCACTATGAACATGGTCATAATAATAGCACTTATTTCTTAGGATAGCTGTGAGGATGTCGGAGATCGTATAACTGACTCATGCAATAAAGATTAGAAGTTATTAGAATTATCTGGTGTGTAAGCAAAGGGGATCTAAAAGAAGTCTACATTGAAGAGATATAGCGTGATTATAGATAGAACACAGAAAAGCTGGTGGAAGGGGGTGCCTGGGTTGCTCAGCCAGTTGAATGTCTGACTCTTGGTTTTGGCTCAGGTCATGATCTCAGAGTCCTGAGATCAAGCCCCATGTTGGGCTCCAAGCACAGCGGGAAGTCTGCTTAAGATTCTCTCTCTTCCTCTACCCCTCCCCCTGCATCTGCGCGCTCTCTCTCTCTCTTTCTCTCTCTATCAAATAAATAGGGGTGCCTGGGTGGCTCAGTCAATTAAGCATCTGCCTTCAGCTCAGGTCATGATCTTGGGGTCCTGGGATGGAACCCTGTGTGGGGCTCCCTGCTCATCAGGGAGCCTGCTTCTCCCTCTCCCTCTGCCCCCCCACTCATGCTCTCTCTTTCTCAAATAAATACAATCTTTAAAAATAATAAAATAAATCTTTAGAAAAGAAAAGCTGGTGGTATGTGAAGGATAGAACTAGAAGAGAAAAAGGTGAGGCTGTTACAGAAATTCAAATGAGAGGTAGAATAGAATGCAGGAGACATTTTTTAGTTAAAATCCTAGAATCTAGAAAATGTAGGCAACAAGAGAGAGTGAGGAATCAAATTAGTCTAAGCAAGGGCCTGAAAAATGGGTAAAAGTCTGATAGGAAATAAAATGGTGCAGGGGAAACAAAGGCAGAGGGAACACCATGTAAAAAGGCACAGCAGCATGAGGATCATGCTATGCGCGGGAACAGGAGGGTGCAGCTGCCTGGTCCGTTGGGTAGAAGGAGCCAGGAGCAGTATTTAGGCACCAGTTGTGATGAGGATTGGACGTCATGCTGGGGTATTTGGATTTCCTCCTATACACAGTGTGTAGCTATTCAGTATTTTTGACACTATCAATGACTTAACATATCCTGTGTTTAGGACTCTAACATCTGATCACAGGGTAGTGAATGAAATGAAAATGCAACAGATTTGTGACTAATGGACAACTATGCAGGTACCATATTTACCCTGTGGGAAAGGTCCAGGACAATAACAGGGGAAATAAAAACAAAAACAAAAAACAAACAAAAAACACAAAAATGAGGGCAAACCGACATCTGGAATTTTGGAAGTGACTTATTGGTAAAAAGATGAGGAAGGAGTCAAAACGGGTCTGATGGTGACTCTGATGTGTATAACTCAATCTGGAAATACAGGAGGAAACTGACCTGTGGGGGAAATATGTGCCGGAGTCCAGCTCCAGCAGGGAAAGGGTCCTTGAAGGAAAGGACGGGGTCGGCGAGTGACCAGACACAGACACAGGATCAGGTTGCAAGCATCTCCTACTGATAGCCTCGGAAGAACTTTATTTATACATTAGAATATGTCCTTGTTTTTTCCATTCTTTCATAACATGTGATTTTATTTTTTACATCTTATTACAAATCATCTTAAAATTTTGAATTTAAAAACAAAGGTACTAGACAGAGCGTGACCGTGCGAGACGAAGCGTAACCTATCTGCTATTGTGTGCTAATGCGGAAAAAGTTATATTTTTACTCTTGCTTAAAGATTATCTAAAGTTTATTCTTGCTCCCAAGGCAACTTCCAATGTGTGCACCCTATCCTATCAAAGTAACATAGGGAGGTCCCTGTACTGTGGGAATGACGTGAGATTTTCCTTTCCTAGAACTCTGATGTTTCAGAGGTGCCCGAGGAATCTCATCAATAGGGACTTTTACTGGGCCTGGATCCAACAGCTCCCTTAAGCGAAACTTATTAAAGAACTCCGCGTTGCTCATGTTAGATGAATTACGGATTGGAGGACATTGGGTATTTTTACTTCTTGGCCCATCGTCAACCTTTTCGGAATCAGTTTCATTGTGATTGCTTACAAAGGCATAACTAAATTTATAAATCATTTTATCATGAAACCCTAGAAAAAAATCCCATGATTATAAAGATTGCCACAAATGAAATGAAAGGAAGTAGCAGGAGCCAGCTGTGGAGTCTCCTGATTTTCAGGATTGTCCCCCATACTTGGACTTTGTCAAACAGCATGAGTAGCTTGGCTCGGGCCAAATATGGTCAGGTCTGTTCTGAAAATCTTGCATTCAACACTTGAACACTCTCACACTGGAAACGTGCCAGAAGTTATTGGAGATTCATTTTTGTTAGTAGCAGAAATTGGAGAGTTATACAAGGTAAGAGGTAGCTGAAGCAATGAGAACGGAAAAACATTCCCTTTAGAGGTAAATAGACGGGGAAACCTTCAGAGGAAAAGTAGCATGATATGGTCTCAAAGACAAGCCATATGGTCTAGGTTGAAGATTGCTCGGGTGGATGAGTTTGCCACATAGGATCTTTGTGTTGGCTGTGAAAGGTACACATACTGTTCCCTCCTCTGATCTACACCTATTGATGGCTTATTGACATTCTAGTCTCCACTTGAGCATGTCACCTCCTCGGAGAGTGGCCTTCTCTGACTTCATAGACAAAAGCAGTCATTCACTCTCACATCACAGAGATCCTATGTCTGGTTCCATATTCTTTCCCATGTGTAAAAATGCCTGGCACATCATATGCATTTAGTCAATATGTATTGAATGAATTCACGGCTTCTATAGTCACTTAACCACTCCGTAACTTGCTTTCATTGTTTTAGAAATCAGAATGAAAATTCTACATAGACTTGTGAGGATTACATGAGACAGCTCTATCTCACCCAGCACGTTATAGGTAGTAAGTGGGTGCTGGTTACCTGGCCTGACTCCTCTTGTATTCTTTGCCCAAACTACAGTGCAAATAGAAAACAGCAACTCTTCAACCATCAATGTATTTATTTTCTTCTGTTTTTAATCTTTACGATTCCTACAGGATAATTTCCAGTCAGGGTTTATCTTCTTCTCTTGTACACTCCTTCAGTTTCCACTGCTGATTATTTACTATTTTTCTTTCCTTTCAACTTTAATAGTGACTGAAATTAGAATTAAAATTCTGTTGTCTTCCTATCATTTTTCTGTCCTCACCTCTTATAAGATCAGATACTGAATGAACAATCTAAATAGAAATATGATTGGCCAAATTGACCTAAAGAGTGGTGCATCTTTTTCCACATCCCACCCATGTCTAGCCGCGTGCATCCAAGGGATCTGGAAAATCTTCTTTTCCTAAAAAAAAAAAAAAGGAATTCAAGCCACCTTTAACAGAAGGTTCTTACGTCCTAGCCAGTAAGATTCTCTATTAAGTGACACCGGGTTTGCTGAGTGTCTACAGTAAAATCTACTAAGGAATTTGAGTTGATTCTATTCAGATCTGTACTTCAGAGTAAGCCATATAACAAGACCTGCTAGAAAATGTCCTGGATGTTTTCTAAAAACTCAAAAGTTGACTAGAACGTTATGACCAGAATATGCCATTCTAGAATGAGACAGTACCTTCAAAATCATTTGACTTCAAACTAGACCATTATATTAGGCATCTGGAAAAAAAAAATTCAATGAGAAATTCTTAAGAACTTAAAAATTATTGATATGTATTAAGAGCTGATATTATATATCTCAAGCTCCAAATACTGCCATTGGATAGAACCTAGCAGAAGTTATACATTGCATTCATTTTTATGGTCTAGTCATTCCTACAGTTATCACCTTTGGAGCTGCTTCATGATGACGCACTGATGAAAAAGGATTGCATTGACTTCCCTAAATTTTTTAAAGGTCATATTCATTTTAATCAATAGTTTATTAAGCACTCCTAAGTACCAGGTTACCAGTCAATCTCAAAAAGCATTTGAAAACGTGGCATCACAAAATCCAGTGGCTGAGAACAAAGCAATTTTATTCATGTTTTCCTGCTTACATGGAGATCCTGATTGGAAAAGAGAGAGATAAGAGTGCTTTTGTGAGTAGAATCCAAGAAGATATTTGGTCATTTATACAGATTTTCATATTAGCATCATTCTCATCATGCTGACTCCTGAACTTGACTTCAGTCAGGTACATTTAGGGTCCCTTTCTCAGGCTCTCCCATGAAGGGTTGCCTGAAACTTGCCCCAGTTTTCTTGACTAAAGTCTAGGTGACATCTGTGCTGCAGCAGCTTTTTACAATCATCTCAGAGGTTTAGCCTCAAAAAGCTCTGAATCTGTGGAAGACAGTTGCTGCCTGCACCAGGAAGATGGGCAATCATACCACAGTGAGCACATTCCTTCCGTGGGGGTTTTCCAGTTTCCCAGACTTGCAGGGTCTTCTCTTTGTGATGATTTTCTTCTCCCATGTGACCATCCTAGCTGCAAATGTTTCCATAATGGTGACCATCAAACTCAGTCACAGCCTTCATACCTCCATGTTCTTTTTCCTCTGTGGCCTGTCCTTTCCAGAAAACTGTACCACTATGGCAATCATCCCCTGCATGTTAGTGGACTTGCTTTCTGACAGCAAGACCATTTCTCTTCCTGAGTGTGCCACACAGGTGTTTTTCTTCTTTGGTTCGGCAGCCAATAACTGCTTCATCATGGCTGCCATGTCCTATGACCATTATACTGCCATTCACAACCCACTGCACTACCGCATCTTGATGACCCATAAGATCTGCTTTCAGTTCATCATGGCCTCTTGGATGGTTGGGTTCCTGGTTTCCCTGTGCGTCGTCATCATTGTATTCAACTTGTCTTTCTGTGACTCCAACATCATCCAGCACTTCTTCTGTGACATCTCACCTGTGGTCTGCCTTGCCTGTGACCACACCTCCCGTCAGGAAAGGGCTATTTTTGTGCTCTCTGCCTTTGTGTTGGTGGGCAGTTTTGTCTTCATCACGATGTCCTATGTCTTCATTGTGTCCACAGTTGTAAAGATGCCCTCTGCCCAGGGGAAGGATAAGGCCTTCTCCACTTGCTCCTCCCAGCTCACTGTGGTGTGCATACACTACAAATTTGCTGGCTTTGTCTACCTGAGGCCCAGGGACAGGGACTCGTTGCGTGAGGACATGCTGATGGCTGTCACATATACAGTGCTGACACCTCTGCTGAGCCCCATCGTGTACAGTTTCAGAAACAAAGAGATGCAGATGGCCCTGAGGAAGGTACTAGGCAAGACAGATAGGCTCATTCCACAGTTGGTGAATAAAAGGACACTGGACATTTAAAAATGTATAGACTGCTGATAAATAAAAGTAGAAAAAGTGGAGTATTTCCAATGAAATCATCTCTTTGTGTACAAAGCAATTAAAGTATTAACTAATTACCTAAAATATCCTGACATCACCATTTTTCTAGTACAGTGTATAGTTTTAAAATATGTGTAAACATGTTTGTGTGTGGTGTACACATACATACATATAAGCATCCTTAAAGAATCCAAACTTGTTTTGTAACACGGTATTTTCATGATAGGTATCTGGTGTCTTTTCTAAGAACTTTCTGACTAGCCCTGTATCTTGAACATTTTCTCCTACTTTTTTCTAAAGGTTTATAGTTTATAGTTGTACATTTTACATCCAGGTCCATGTTCTATTTTGTGTTAATCCTTATGTAAGGTGTGAGGTTTATGTCAAGGTGCTTCTGCCCTCCATGGATGTCTCATTGCTCCAGCACCATTTGTTGAAAGGCCTTCCTTCTTTCATTGGATTGCTTTGGTACCTTTTTAAGAAAAATCAGTTGGGCACCCTTGTATGGGTCTTTCTCTGGCTTCTCTAGTCAGCCTCTCTGATTTGTGTGTCTATTCTTCCACCAGTAACACCCTGTCCTGATGACTGTAGCTAAGGAGTAAGCCTTAATATCACGTGAAGTGATTCTTCCCACCTTATTCTTGTCTTTCAAAATTATTTTACATATTCTAGGACTTTTCCTTTTTAGTAATGTAAGCATTTAGTGCTGTAAATTTCCCTCTCAGCACCACTTTATCTGAATCTCCCATGTTTTGATATGTGGCTTTTTATTTTCATCTGTTGTATGTATTTTTGTAAGTACTGGAGTCCCAGGTCTTTTTTTGTCATTTATTTTCTGAGAACTTCCTTTAGCAATTACTTAAGATAGCTTGACAAAGCTATCTTATGAGAATAAATTCTCATAGCTTTCTTTCGTCTGACATATCTTTATTACTCCATTTCTGAAGGCGATATTTTGCCAGTCGTAAATTTACATTTGACAATTCTTTTCTTTTAGCACAGACAGTCCCTTACTTATGATGGTTTTGACTTGTGATTTTTTGCCTTTACACTGATGTGAGAGCAATATGCATTTAGTAGACACCATACATCAAATTTTGAATTTGAATCTCTTCCCATCACTCATGTTGCGGGGCAGCAGCATTGAGCCACAACTCCCAGTCAGCCACACAATCAGGAAGTAAATAACTGATCCATACACAACTGTTCTGTACTTATACAACCATCTGCTTTTCACTTTCTGTAGAGTGTGCAATAAATTATGAAATATTCAACACTTCATTATAAAATAGGCTTTGTGTCAGATGATTTTGCCCAATTGTAGGCCAATGTTAGTGTTCTGAGCATGTTTGAGGACGTTCTGTAGGTTGGGTGTATGAAATGCCTTTTCAGGCCTGTTGAGGTGTAGCTGCAAGTACCATGTCAGTGTGTGTGCTCACCTTCCTATTGAGCGCTACTGACACAACTCTGGCGAAATGCTCCCTGCAGATGGTTGAGATGGAAGTCCAGCTGCCCACTCTGCCCTGATGGCTCTTTCTTAGTGATAATACGACCCTGGCTACATGCCTTCTTGCCTCCAAGTAAGCTCAGTTCCTTGTTGAGTTCCACTGCCACTAGGAAAGGGTGAAGTAGAGAGCAGGTTCGTTCTGCCCTATCATTGCAGGGTGCGGGTGAAAGCTCAGCTCAGTGGGTACCCTCCCAAGTAGGGTTGGAGGCAGGGTGAGCAGAGTACCATTAGCCTTACCTCACAATCCCTCATTAAGTCTCATGCTGCCAGGTGACAGTGGAGGCTCATTTCCCCGCTGGACCTGACATTACCCGGGCAAGGGAATCAGAGGGTGGGTGGGGGGAACAGAAGCAACCTGCTTGGCCCCACTGAAACCTGGGGGTGGATGGTGGGTATGATTTTCCTTAGGTATTTGTCTGGAGTAAGGTAGGTATGGCCAAAATGTTTTATATTCTGTTAAGGCCACTCTTTCCCAGTTCTTTGGTTAGGAGAAACTGGGTTTTCTTAGAGTTCTTTTTGTCTGTGTCTCTTTGTGGTTCTGGATGGGAGGCTTCTGTAGTATGCTGTCCAGGATATAAGGAAACCCAGCGACTCACTGCTGTGTTGTTCCTCAGGTCCCAAAATCCCTAGCAGGCTGCCTTCTTCTTTCTACCTTTAGAATCTTCCTATGCTTGTTTTATCTGTAACAGATTTTTTTTGTGTTTGGTGTTTGGTGTGTGTGTGTGTGTGTGTGTGTGTGTGTAACAAGAGGGGAGGACCTGAGAGGGATGGAGCTACTTCATCTTCAGTGGAACCAGAAGTCTATGCTTTAAAAAATTTAGAGATATTTATCTACCTCCTAATTTATTTTGTGCCAGAAAGTTGGTCATCAGACCAAGTTAGCCTGACATATCCAACAGAGAAATCTCTACCCTGAACTCTGAACAGTAAGAGTTGACTGGAAAGGAATGTATCCGAGACCGATGGAAGTCCTCTAGTGGTGAAGTTGTCTTGAAGAGCCCCACACCCCAGCCTGTCAGAGAGTATATGCCTTAAAAGAAGGCAAAATATTGAGAGGATATTTGTGACCTTGAGCTTTTGCTTAACCTTTATATGCTTCAGTCACATCCTCTGTAAAATACAGATTAGGAAACAAAAAACTTCATAAGGTTATTCTGAGGATTAATTAGGTCAATATGTGTAAATCCCTGAGAACGGTACCTGGAATGTAGTAAATACTCTTATAGTGTTAGCTCCTATTGCTCACACTGGTACCACTGGTACTACTCCTCTCACTAACATTTGATTTCTAGATCTTCTAACTCTCCACCCATGTAAAAACAAAACTTTTACTAAACAAGGCTGGGATTCTAGTTGCCAATCTGTGGAACGGTGTGGAGGCAGTGGCGTAGCTGTGCTGAGCATGAGTTTGTGCAAAAGCCTGTCACAACTGTAGCAGGATCTGACCCAAACATTTAGTCACTTGCATCAGGCTGAAGCATTCAGCGGATCAGTGGCCAGGATTCTACAGCAGCAGAGTCAATGGTTCGCACCAGAGCAAACACTCATTCAGTCATCCATTCCCTTAATAATTTTTCATTCATTCATTTCAAAGATGCATTTTTGCTTACTGTGTGTCATTTACATGCATGGGGAAAGAGCAAAGACATGGTGGTAGCTATGGAAAGCTTTCAGCATTGTGGAGAAAACAAATATTAAGTCTGTAAGTGCACTGAATATACTGAAGAAAATATGCAGAGTTCTACAGGTGTACTTAATTGGTTCTGGAGCCTCAAGACGGCTTCACAGATAGGTAACAACACTCAAGTTCGTATCTATAGCATAAGTAGGTGTTACCAAGGTAAGGGGGGGTAATGAATTCAGGTAGGGGCACTGCATGTGAGAGGGTGCTGAGGCAGCAAAGTCTATGGACCTGTTTAAGGATTTAAAAGAAGACCAAATGATTGATTCTTAGAGTTTGGGTATTTGGAGACCAAGGAAGACTGGCGAGAGATAGAAATAGAACAGGGGCTGTATTCAGGACTCTGTGAGTCATTTTAAGAATTATTGCCTTTTCAAATGCTACCAAACTTTTAAAGAAGAGTTTAATACCTATTCTACTCAAACTATTCAAAAAATAGAAGAAGGAAAATTCCAAATTCATTCCATGAGGTGAGTATCACCCTGATAGCAAAACCAAAGATACCACAAAAAGGGAGAACTACAGGCCAATATCTCTGATGAAAATATATGCAAAAATCTTCAACAAAATACTAGCAAACAGAATCCAACAATCCATTAAAAAAACCATTCACCACAATTAAGTGGGATTCATTCCCAGGATGCAAGGCCAGTTCAATATTCACATATCAATCAACATGATACATCACATCAGTAAGAGAAAGTATAAAAAACCATATGATCATCTCAATAGATGCAGAAAAAGCATTTGACAAAGTAGAACATCCAGTCATGATAAAAGTAGGTTTAGAGGGAACATACCCCAAAATAATAAAGGTCATTTATGAAAAACCCCCACAGCAAACATCATACTCAATGGGGAAAAACGACAGCTTTGCCCCTAAGATCAGGAACAAGACAAGGATGTCCACTCTCACCATTTTTATTCAAAATAGTGCTGGAAGTCCTAGCCACAGCAATCAGACAAAAAAAGAAATACAAGACATCAAAATTGGTGAGGGAGGAAGTAAAACTTTCACTATTTGCAGGTGACATACTATATGTAGAAAATTCTAAAGACTATACCAAAAAACTACTAGAACTGATAAATGAATTCAGTAAAGTCATAGGATACAAAATAAATGTGCAGAAATCAATTGTATTTCTATACACTAATGAAGCAACAAAAATAGAAATTAAGAAAACAATTCCATTTACAATTGCACCAAAAATAATAAGATACCTAGGAATAAACTTAAACAGTTCAGAGACCTGTACTCTGAAAACTATAAAACACTGATGAAAGAAATTGAAGACAACACAAAGAAATGGGAAGACATTCCATGCTCATGGGTTGGACGAACAAATGTTAAAATAGCTATACTACCCAAAGCAATCCCTATGAAAATACCAACAGCATTTTTCATAGAACTAGAACAAAAAAATCCTAAAATTCATATGGAACCACAAAAGACTCCAGATAGCCAAAGAAATTTTGAAAAAGAAAACCAAAGCTGGAGCTATCACAATTCCGGGCTTCAAGTTATATTACAAAAACTGTAGTAATCTAAACAGTATGGTACTGGCCCAAAAATAGACACATAGGTCAATAGAACAGAACAGAAAACAAACAAACCCACTATTATATGGTTAATCCTTGACAAAGCAGGAAAGAAGATCCAGTGGGAAAAAGACAGTATCTTCAACAGTGGTGGTGGGAAAATTGGTCAGCTTCATGCAAAAGAATGAAACTGGACCACTCTCTTATACCATACACAAAAACAAATTCAAAATGGGTTAAAGACCTAAATATGAGACCTGAAACCATAAAAATCCTAGAAGAGAGCACAGGCAATAATTTCTCTGACATCACCCATAGCTATATTTTTCTAGATGTCTTCTCAGGCAAGGCAAACAAAAGCAAAAGTGAACTATTGGGACTGCGTCAAAAGAAAAAGCTTTGGCACAGCAAAGAAAACAATCAACAAAACTAAAAGACAACCTACTGAATGGGAGAAGATATTTGCAAATGACATACCTGATAAAGGGTTAGTTTCCAAAACATATAAAGAACTTATAAAACAATACCCAGAAATGAAATAATCCAGTTAAAAAGTGAACAGAAGGCATGAACAGACATTTCTCCAAAGAAGACATCCAGATAACCAACAGCCACATGAAAGGATGCTCATTAGCACTCATCATCAGGGAACTGCAAGTCAAAACTACAATGGGATATCACCTCACAGCTGTCAGAATGACTAAAACCAAAACACAAGAAACAACAAGCATTGGTGAGGATGCGGAGAAAGGGGAATGCAAACTGGTGCAACCACTGTAGAAAACAGTATGGGGGTTTCTCAACAGTTAAAAATAGAACTACCCTATGATCCAGTAATTGCACTACTAGGTACTTACCCCCAAAATACAAATACACTAATTCAAAAGAATACATGCACCCCTATGTTTATAGCAGTA